GGGGGATTTTCTAAGAGGTGATATTTTTTTTTGTACACCTATAGAAGAAATATATTTTTTTCTCACTTGATGGTTGGAAATATTTTTTTTTTAAAGGGGCCCTACAGTAATTTTTTAGTCAAGTAAGTATTGTTTACATTTTTTTGTTATTGTCGCTACTTGACATGCGCACCACAGTATGCATGCGTTTTCTGGTGTGCGAAAGTACTCATACTCATGGATACTGCATGTAAGATACAGCCAAACGAATCTCCGTGGAGTCCCCTACTTAAGGTGGCTTTCGACTAAAAAATGACTGTAGGGCCCTTTAAGTGAAATTTATAGGCCTATTAGTGGTGTAGTCCTGGAATGTTGACAAGGGGGGCTCTCCAAAGTGCCCTGAATTGGCGGGAGGGGAGGGGAGGTACAATAAGATATTTTAGAAATTCTAAATTTTGTTGGGGTTTATTCTAGTAATTCTGGGACAAACATTTGACATTATTCTTATTAAAAACAAGCCGAAGCGAGGGCCGAAGGCCTGAGGAAATTTTTAAATTTAGAGTCTCTGAAATGCCATTTCCTCGACTTTGGGGAAGATTTGACAGAATTCTGATGGTCAGAAAACAGCGTTTTAGTATGTCGAAATTTACAATTTAGTGGTACTAAATGATATAAAGATTACAAAAATGGCGATATAAAGATTACAAAAATCATTGTGTTAAATGATGAGTGAAAATGAGATGCAATTCTAAAGAACATTCTCGTTTACTGGTATTTTTTTGTGTGTGTTTTCGCACGTTGTTAAGATTATCAATTATGCAACGTGCCATAATATAGGGGGGCTCAGCACGCTGGTCACATTCAGCAAATTTTCTCCCAGGATCGCAGGCTCATATTGTCAGTGGACTTGCGGTGTAAAATTGAAACTTGCATTTTTCAAAGAACTGGCCACTTTCTGTAAGATGTCCGCTGTCAATACGAACCCGCACGAGTGGGAGAAATTTTGCTAAATTTGACCAACGTGCAGCCCCCCAAGTCAACATGAAATTTCAACAAGGGGGCTCAGCTCCCCTGAGCCCTCCCTCCAGTACACCACTTGGCCTATCTTCTAAGCAAGGAATTTTTTTTTTTTGCACTATGCCTTGAAAGATTTTTTTTTTTTTCATTTTTTGGTCAATGGTCCGTCCCTTACTTTTTTCTTCTTAACTTTTAAGTTTTACCCTCCATTTTTTCTGCCAAACTCAAAAATTTTCCCGCGGTCCGCTATATTATGCAGCCCTGATAATAATAATAATAATATAATTTAGGTTAGTATATGCGTGCACTTTATTTATATTCTTCTAAAACAGTTATAAATATTTTTAAGTTTTCTCCACTGGTATAGTACTTCCCATATGTAAATAAAATTAATCTAAATATACGATATCACGATATATTTAGTTCAATCATGACTAAAATGCTATTTTGCATTTTGGGTTAGTGTCTTCAACTTGATGATAACATTATACCAGCTTTATCTGCTTTCATTTTATGAAAACAAAATACCGGTAATTGAAATAATTGGATATTAAATAATATATCTAGGAGTTTTGTTAATCGTTCATCATTGAATTAAATAAATTAATCATCTCGTCAGTGACAGTGGTAACGCAGGTATATACTTCAAGCATCCTGTCCAGCGTATTACTTTATAACAACTCCACGCCATAAAAACTCCCGTAGCAGCTTTAAATATCTTCTTTATATATCCAAATGTCATACTTTTTGGTGGCATCCTGCAGGAATAAATATTAGATATTTTAGAAAAAACACCAGATGATTTACATTATAATAAGCATGCATTTACTGGGTTTAAATCCGAATCATTGTAGTATTCCCATTTGAAAAAAGGTTTTTCTTGCAAATTTTCGCTCAAAAACAAACTTTTGACTGAATTTTTCTTACTCCTCGAAACTCACCTTAAAGGCGGTTTTCCACTTGGCGAAATTTTTCGACCGACTCTTTGTTTCATGAGCTCTCGAGCAGAACTAATTGTAAAAAGACAAAGAGAAATTTCGTTTCGGTCGAAAAAGTCCGCCTCGTGGAATCAGGCCCTTAGTCCTTTTGAAAGCTGTTTTTTCCGCGCGTCTGCTTCAACGAATTATCGAATTGAAATAATCATAGGCCTTTGTCATATAGGAGTTAGCATTCCCGTTAACTTCTAGTTCAATGGATGGGATCGGTCGGGAAACCGGAATCAACAATTTTTTTAGGCGGTAGATTAGTTAAATGCAATATACCAGATTAGTTAGATACAGAAAACCTCATTATTTCTTGAATATCAATATCTTTCTCCCAATTTTCAACAATTCCTTGAACATGACCGATACCAACAACACCAACAATGACTGTAGGCTCAAAGTGAAAACCTGATAATGATAAAGTAAGTAACAGTCAGTAGGAACTACACAAGCTCAAATATTGCGCAATGATCTGCTACTTAACAGTTTTTGACTGGGATCGAGGGAAACAGTATCGAGGGTACATACTGTTTTCCAGAAAGTCCCAGTCAAGTATTTTATCATATGTGGAAGAAAAGAAACCACTATAGTTATTAATATTCGGAGCAGTTGTCATGCACAGCCTCAACCCGAATTTATTAAATATCAAGTTGAGACTGCACGCAGGCTAATTGGACAGTGAGTGATCATACCTCCATCAGGTTCAGTTATTTCACGAGGAATGGCGGCAAGTCTTAATGATCTTGCTAAATAGGCATCTCTTTCTTTTACTAATATTTCATACAGCTTGGGAAAATCACCCGTCATCTCAGCCAACATTTCAGCAATCAAGTCTTTCTGTTTACATCGTTCTACATCTTCTTTACTACAAAAAGGAAATTACATTCATTTTACGTCGTAAAACCGTTACCGTATAGTATAGATGACGTAGTAAGTTGAAGAGTGCAAAAGCAATTATTAACGATTAGATAGACCAGTTCATACGTTATTGGTTCTTTAGAAGTAATAAGACTCCAAGCGAGTTTTATCTTTTGCCATAAAGACAGAGCAGCCATTACCCTTGCTAGCGTAACCTGCAAGTAAGAAAATAGTTGATAGAGATCCGCTTAAGCAAGCGACGTTTTTGATTCACGAACACCGACCAGAAGTAAATCGAGTCGTTGTAGATGGCGACAGGCGCTCTTGTTTGAAATCACAAATGTAAAACTGCATCGACTGCCGTTCTTGATTTCAAGCAGGAACTGCTGATTAAGTTCATAATCTCCTGTTGCTTTCTTTACCCATGGAGATTGGAGGCCACGGGAGTTTATATTTACTTTTTCGATGAAGAACTTCACTATATCTTGCCATTTATATGGACTTGTATATGTTTACGAGTATAAGTGAGAGCATGCGCATGGGTGTTGTGCAAACTAGAAAAACAGAGTCATAAAGAAAGACATATATACACTACACACTGCATGGCACTACTTCGTACGTACCGCCGTTGTGTGGGGCGCGTTGATCAATTACATACAGTACGTTACATACAGTATGCAACAAACTTACAGCAGACTTATACCATGTAATGCTGTTTCAACAGCTTGTTACCAGAATGTGTTCGCATGCACTGCCTGTTCCCAGCTTGTTGAAAAGTTGTCAACAGCTTGTTGGCAATTGCTGCAACAGCAAGGTTGTTGACTGAAGAAACTTGTTACAAGTTGTTCCTCAACAACAACAGCTTGTTCGTTCTGCAATTCAACAACTTGTTAACAAGTTGTTTGTTACAATCTTGTAAACATAAGATTTTTAAAGTTTTTTCTTCCTTACACGAGCGCTGATGCAAAAGGCCGCCAAAATTAGTAATACCAATTTTCGGGTGATGTCTGATGACAAAAACGTCGATCGCTTGCTTAAGCTCATTAATACTAAACTAATATGACTAACCTGTATTGGACGGTCAGCAAGTCGAAACTGGCAGAACGGCACCTTCTTCGCCTACAAAAGAAATGAAACACACATATTGTGCATCACTACAAACAGCTATGTGTCATATGATAACAACCTCAATAATTGCTAACCTCTTGATAAGCAGCTCTGAACTCTCCCCCAGGTGCCATACCTAACTCCTTTGTGATATGAGCTGACATACTGAGTAACAAAACTTGCATTATGCCTGAAACAATACCTTCCTAGATGAATAAAAATAAAATGGAAATTCTTTGTAGAAGATCGTTTTGTAGAAGATCGTCGAAACTATATGAAGACCAATTGCAACAATAAATTGCAATAATAAACAAAATAAAACATAAACTGTTAAATGAGGAAATTTGGTGGGCAGATATTACTCCTAAACGGCGTATGCGATGTCGTAAAAAGTGAATCCGGGATCGTGTAACTAGGGGTTTACACGCGATAAGTAAAAGGCAGGTGAGTGTACACATTGCAGGGTAACTGCAGGCATGGCCGCATGGAACTACCCGGATCTGGAAAGGGGATTTACTCGTCGAGGTTTGGTCATGGTTCAGGGTTCAACCGTTGATCAAAGGCAGGTATTGGAAGGTATATTCTTGGTTTAACACATAAACTGTTGTTTGGTACTCGACGAGGATACATTTTACCAAAGGCTTTTAGGTAGCAATTATTACTGTAATATTGCCAACAACTCGCTGATTAAGAAAACAAATAAGAACCAGTTTTTGACTAGAAATAAGAACCAGACAACACAAAACGATAACAATGACTTACATGTTTTACTACAGTTCTTAACTTCTGAAAATTAATATTTCCAACTTCTCTCATTAAGAATTCTTCATCATATTTCAATATATCCACTCTACCCCGACACAGTTCAACCATCACCAAGTTAGGCTGTAGTAGTTGTATAGTCTAAGAAATGGAAAGCATAATTTAAGAAACAGAAAGCAATTATTGTGTCATCCTTGCTTAATATAATTTCCTTCAATGAAAAAGTACAACAGTCTCGGGACGTCCAAGCCGTCTTTTGGATGAGGTAATGAGAAAAAAATCTGATTGGGGCTAATGCATGTAGACAAAAATGACGGAGAAATGGAACATAACACGAAAACATATACCGAACGGTCATTGCCAGCGTACGTAAGAGATACAACTACCTGAAAAATCACAAAAAAATACTTGGACATTTCGAGCGAAGGCCATTCGTCTCATGGCCGGATTTTGAGGGGAGGTGTGGGGAGGTGCACACCTCCCCTGAAAGGTCGTGCACCTCCCCTTGGAAAAGTTTTAATGATAGATCAAAGTGAACATTTGACATTTTTGGTTGCTTAGGGTCTACATTTGTAGTGATAGCCATTCGTCTCTGTGTCAAATACCCTTTTAATGCAATGTTTTGAAAGAAACTTTGTAGCAATTGTAATGAAGGGCAAAATTGGATGAGTCGTACAGGCATAATTCATTAATACACTGATACATATGTACACTATAGATACATACGTCACGTCGTTGACTTTGGCCCGTTCTACAGTAAACCCTAATTTTCCATGCAGGGAGTCGTGAGCTAGACCGCTGCACCTCCCCTGAATTCTTTTCCACCTCCCCCACTATTTCCACTAAAATCCGCCCTTGCTTCATCTGAACGTTAGTAGACAATTAAATACGTCTACTAACTTCAAAACAAAGGCCTTCGCTCACAACGTCGAAGTTCATTTTGCATTTTTCAGGTAGTTGTATCTCCTAAAAGCTCTGCTGTGTGAAAAAATATATACCCTATTTGTCTTACACAATAAATTAATTTGATGAGGTCAAGTACCAAAGCTCGCCCCTGGCATGCTTTGAGAAATATGAAAATATTTCAGGATACCAATTACTCAATGACTTGTCTTGATTCGTGTTTGTAACTTTTTGCGAGAGTTGGAACTGCCTGACATGTTACAAACATGGCCTAATCGATGCGTCTCCTACCCGCATTATACATTGGGTCATAGTTTACCATGGGTATACATGTAACCAAAAGGCAAAATAAAACTGAATTGTAAAAAGAACAAAGACAAGGAGATCTCTACCTTTCGAACATCCTCGTTACTACTTTCACTGAAATGTGCTGTGCCAACGAGGTAAACAGTTGATCGATATGGTGTGGTCAGTTTCGTCACTGTATCTGGAAGTTGGATATTTTCTAATCTTTCCTCAGAATTACTTTCATTCAGTGAACGGAACAAAGATTCGTCCAACTGAATCTCTGAAGAAAATAGTGTAAGAGGTTTTAGTAAAAATTAGAGGATCACAGATCCTGAACATGGCACAAATCGCAGAATATAGACAAAAAAATAAGTAAAGTACCTAACATGTTACAAGATGGTTTTGAGACAATTGATAAGGTAGTTTTGTGAGTTAGTAATACTAACTGACATCAACAATCCAACATATAACTTTTCCATTTCGTAAGTAGCAATTTTACTCAATAGACCAATACTAACTGGTTAAACCTGTGTATGATAATCCTATTATAATACCGGCTTACCTGATCGATGAAATCGATAATCGATAAAAATTAACGTCAGTCGGTCTCAATCGATATCAATTAATCGATTAATATTGGAAATCGATGACCATTTGATGACTGGTATCGCTGTGACCTTTCATAGATTGATTATCGATTTGTATTGATTTTAATGGATTGAAAAAGACAAAGTTAATATGCATGAAACTAAACAGTGGCACTAAAATTTAGTTCACATGCATTTTTTGTTGTAAAGCCTGATCGCAGGTTAGATCCATCTTAACGAAGCAGGTATTTTTCTTCGCTTGTATTTTAGCTGTTTCAGATCACTTCTCGTAAATTCTGATGCTCCTTAAGTAAAACGCAGACACACGATAGCGGATGAAGTCGAAATATCGATGATAATCGATGAAATTAGTCTAGTATTTATTGTGAATATCAATTGGTTATCCGATAATGATCAATTGACTAACTGGTATTGATTGTCATCGATTGATCGATTAAATTTCGGATGATCGAATTATAATAATAGTGTAAATATTTGTAATCTCTACAAATATCTGCATCATTATTTAACAATTATTCGCCGAAGGCGAGGTGATTATCGGGGAATATTCGCTGAGACGAAGTCGAGGTGAATATTCCCCGATAATCACCGAGCCTGAGGCGAATAACTGTTTTAGTATTTTTGCACAAGTTTTTTTGTGTTTTTCTTGTCTGAATTCATTTTAATTTCGCTTATTTCTTTATCACTAACTTCAACAAAACGGCTAACCGCCATTTTGAAAATTTCGATTTTGTTATATTCTCCTGTAGGTGAATATAACAGATTAATATGTCAAATTTGACCAATCACCTTGTAGGATTTGTTATGTTCACTTGTGCAAAAATACTAATGTGTAATGTTTGATAATGCAGGAATTAATACAATACCTGATGGTGATAGTCCATTGAAAGAATGTTGATTAGGATTCACAACATAATATGATTCAGCAGTCTCAACTGTTCCAACTAATGGTGCTCCGTCTCCAGTTTCTATGACAATCAACTCATCATCTTCTGGCCACTCATATGACTCTGCGCTGTCACATGACTCTTCACTAGGACTGTCATATGGCTCTGCACTAGGTTTGTCACTTGATTCCTCATTATTATCCTCTTCCTGGTCCTTGACCACCTCATCGTCAGGTTGCCTTTCATCTACAGTTACCTTTTCTGCAAAAATAAAGTGTTTAAAATTGTAAGTCATATTAGACTAGTTACTACATGTGCTGCATTTCAACAAAAAAGCTGGTTTGGCAAATCCTGTGATAAGTTTCTCATATCAGTGTCTGCTGTGTTTCAGTGCTGGAATATGACAACTTTGCCACTAACTACACCTTCATGTGACGTAATGTATCAATTACACCAGCTCTTCGAAAATTACCCGACCTTAGCGCACTTGTTCAAATTTTCTGTCGGTTCGGACGGGCTCAGCCCCCCTCCCCCCCCCCCACCCCCATCATCTTTCATGAAGACAGAGATAATCTCAGCCTGTGTGACAGACGGTCAATGGGAAATACCAATATTTATCCTTCAATATTTATTATTTCATCGTTCGCAAGGTGAGAGTCAATACTATTTTGTGATTTATCGCAGACTACACATTACACCAACAATTCACTGTAATTTTCGATTTGAAATTGTTATTAAATCCTAAGGTAATGTCTAATGATCCATTCAAGTAGCTAATTATTAAATTAGTATTTTTAATACGTAAATTATTCTCTATGATGGGTAAATTTTGAAGCAAGTTGTGTCGCTACGTTTTTCGTTGTTCCCAAATCTAACGTTTTCCGCGTTGTACGTCTCTATTAAATAAGTGGGAAATTGATAATTTTATTCACAGAAAAGGGATCTAAAGGTTTTGATCATATTTCGAAAATAATCATAAATCACTGTTATTAACTCGCGTTCTGCTTGGATCTCAAAATAACATATTTGGTGGGCGGAACTCAAAATACTTTTTGGGCACGCGGTATTTCCCATTGACCGATGAATCCTAGCTCGTTCTATCATGGTAATTGGCTAAAAGGCATGGACGGGAGGAGGTTTTAAATAGTCCAAAATTTAAACTCAGAGTTCGCTTTAGTTTATGGTTAATATTAGGATTGGGATTAGGTTTATAGGGCAAGGGTTACCGTAAGGTTTAGGATTGTTATAAGTTCCTTAATTGTTGTTGATACGTTCACGCGTTTTAACTATATCTTGAAAAGTAGCCGCCAAATACCTTCCTCTCTTCCATCCCATTTAGTAACGATCGTTCTATCACACACATTGCTGAGAAGTTGCCTCAAGCACTCGAGAAGCAAATACATGTGTCGGCATGTCAATTTTCTCGGCCTTTAATTTTATTGCTTGTTTCGAAGCACTGCCTGCCACGATTTTCTCTGCTTATTCTGACAATGCACATGCAATATAGATCTGCTACCGTTTGACATTTGATACGTACTATTTAAAACACGAGTAGGAGTGTTTTATCAGATATAAACGCGAGGTGCAGCCGAGCATTTTATATCTGATAAAACACGACGAGTGTTTTGAGTGGCTTAAAATACGACTACTAAAGAATACTAATTAGGATGAACAATTATATAATCATACTAATTAGCATCGATGAACAATTAAATACTAATGAAGATGAATTTTATCAGATATAAAGTCATGCCACATGACATATTATGGAATAAACTCGTGCACGAGTATCACGGTGTTAATGCGTAAAGTCTAATTTAAAGACCATTGTGCCTGTGAAAATCAGGCTTTATGTTAAAAAAATAAGGTAATGAATGTCCTTAACTAGGGCCCTAAGCATTGGTTATTATCAAGCTTCCCACGTCCCTGCATGACATAATAACTCAATGTACAAATTCCTCTCGAAAATTCTCAGTAAGTTGTAACCATATTATTTTGTTACACAGTAGGCATTTACTCAGCAAGATTTCTGTTGTATGCTCATACACTACCTAATGTCAATACTGGATCAAAGTCTTAATTGTTACATACAAAAGCTAAAACACAGAAATAAATTAAATAGAAGCTATATAGGCCTCATCTAGCTAGGCTGATCCTATTTGAATGTTACAATTAAAATCCTGTTGCAAAAATGAGAACACAGGTGACAATTTTAAAAAGAACAAAACAATAGACACTCCGAAAATAGTTAACATTTTAATCAACGTTTCGACTAGGAGTTCAGCCAACTCCGACTAGGAGTTCATGACTGAAATCTAGTCGAAACATTGATTAAAATGGAGTGTCTATTGTTTTGTTCTTTTTAAAATTACTCAAGTGACAATTTAGTATTCAACTTTCTCTAATTCTGAGAAAAAACGTATGATTGTCAAATGAATAAGGGTAGCAGGAGAAAACCCTAGGTGTCACAACATTATTGAATGTTGTCGCATATTATAGGTCCAGCTTAAAGTAAAATAATTATATAATTATTATTATATTATAATTATAATTATATATAATGAAGTCTATATATAATTTGTTGTATTTATAGGAGGTTAATCAATAATATACCTTAGGCCTGTCAAAGACGTCAAATTTCCGACTAATTTAATTAGTCAAATTTAATGCTTCTGATTTATTTTGACAGATTTTCAAAGTCAATATTTGTCAATTATGCAACAAAGCTCATCAAATTTTTAAAGCTCTGCAATATATTTCTGTATGACTGGGCTATAGTTTAATATCAATTAGCTTAAAGGTCCAACAAATATGGAATATTATGAACAATGAAGGCTGAAATTTTTCCTGTGTCCATAAATATTTACTCATTTATCTTTAACAGTTTTGGGTAGTTACTATTTGTATTGAGAAATTTTGCAACATCTCTCATCTGTTAATGCTTTAAGTGCTTCTGATAAGGTCACTAACACTAAACAGTAGTGTGTTGAGGATTGCCTCATGCCTCCCTTGTTTCGCCCAACAACTCACAAATCACGTTTAAAATTTTAAAACTTTAATAAAGGTCACAGGTCACAATGACATTAGATATGTTACACTTCACTGTTAATTCAGTATCACAATTGATGTTAACTCTCCAGTAGACTGAAGTTCTAACGTGTCTAACTAACATACACAGGCTATATTTATAGTAAAACAATAGGAACTTATTGTGGTTATATGACGAACTCTATGCGGTTATGTGACGAAGTTTCCTTGCGGGAAATATGCAAATTCATCGCGATTTGACCCTATAGTTTCAACTGCACCCCGACAATACGGTTGCATAGTCACGTCTGTTTATCTCTTGCGTTGTATATGAAACTTCTAGTCTATTACTCTGCACTTTCATTTCCCTTTTGCACGTATAGTGTGTTCATAACTATATATTTAAACTAATAACTATATGAATTATCTATATTCTAAGATTAAATGTACTCTGGTCTATATACTATAAATTATGATAATTGAAAGTCTCCGACAAGTGGATGTATTCACAATTGTAATGTTATTTTATGTATTAATTAAAACAAAAAATATACAGTAGCTATTGTTTGTTAATTTCTCTTAAATAAATATTAATAAAACATAAATACACTGGCGAATTATGTATATGAAGTTTCACAAGATAGACGAAACTGAATATGTAAGTGGGCAAGAGAGAATAGTAGCTAATCCAAGAATTTGTATCAATTATCAATCTTACACAATGTAATAAGCCAATTTGGAGTTTCCGCTGCGCATCCAAATGACATGTCATGCTCTCAGTCTCAGCTACGTGATATGATTCAGTTGCATTTTATCCCAATGCATATTGCTTCATTTGGAGGTGCAGTGGAAATGCACAATATGGAGATATTGGCTTATTTAAAAAAAGTTTTTTGTTTGAAGTAAAAATTATGAAATGTCACTGTATCCAGAACACTAGTATGCTACCCATTGAGTTTAATACCCAATTACCACACCCAACAACCACACCCATTTTGCTTTTTCTGTAGCATCCTCCCCGTGTATAATTTGCAAAACATCACCGTTTAATATATCCCAAAATTTGAACAGGGTTGGTAACTTGGCCATTTTGCGGACAAATAACTCGATTTTGGCTTTTTTATTTCTTGTTTGGCCTTGAAAAAAATGTTTGGCCTTTTGGCTCTATTTTGGCTTTTTTATTAAGTGACAGGGATTTTCACTATTTTTTAGTATAATTTATTGTGCCGGAATGTTAAACCATAAAGCAATATGTAAGAATGTAAAAATTGGGTATCGTTGACAGAGATAACCTAATTTTATTGACACTCAGTAAGATTTCAGGAAATTCAGCCAATCGTAAAGCTAAAAACTAACCAATGACAACATGGTAGCTATGTCTTTGCAGAGGTCCTTCCCGAAAAATGACAAAATTTGCTTTAAAATTTAAAATTTTTATCTGTCAACATACTGCAAAGTCGATAAGATTTGGCTCTTTTTTGGCTTTTTTCAGAAAAATGAAATTTGGCCTTATTTAGTAGAATTTGGCCTTTTTTAAAGGTCATTTGGCTTTGTGTGCATAAAAGCCTACCAACCCTGCATTTGAACATAATTTAATTGTCTTTGACATTGAGCAAGTTCAATATTGGCGTGTTTTCTATTTTGGCATGCACTGACGTGTACAAATGTATTGTACCTATGTACTTGGTTGATTGATTTTATTTCAATATTTCAATGCCTTGGTACAGGAATATTGCCTGGACAAATTAGAAATAGCTCACTTATTCCCCATGTACAAATAACACACATACATCCACATATATTTATTATTAACTCACTATGCATATTCAATAATAAAATTCGACAATGAATCAATATGTTCGTATTAAGCAGGCCCATTATGCCCATACTGGCACTGCCATACTCCCCATACACAACAATCACAAGAAAAATAAATAAAATAATCTAAATATAAACACAAATACAAATATAAGAGTCATCTGTTTAACTAGACATTGAACTATTTAATTAATTTCAAATATATTTCTACGGCATAACTTTATTTTGAAACACACCTTCGTCATCGGTAGATA